CAACCTCTGCCTCCTGGGTTCAGGCAATTCTCCTGCCTCAGCCTCCTGAGTGGCTGGGATTACAGGCATGCACCACCATGCCCAGCTAATTTTTTTTTGTATTTTTAGTAGAGACGGGGTTTCACCATGTTGAGCAGGGTGGTCTCGATCTCTTGACCTCGTGATCCACCCGCCTTTGCCTCCCAAAGTGCTGGGATTACAGGCTTGAGCCACCGCGCCCGGCATGCAACCACTGATCTTTTTACAGTCTTCTAATGTTGTTGCCTTTTGCAAAATGTCATATAGTTGGAATCATGCAGTACACAGCCTTTTCAGATTGGTTTCTTTCACTTAGCAATATACATTTAAGATTCTTCCATGTCTTTTTATGGCTTGAAAGCTCATTTCTTTGTAGTGCTGACTAATATTCTATTGTCTAGATGTACTACAGTTTATCCATTTACCTACTGAAGGACTTCTTGGTTGCTTACACGTTTGGCAATTATATATAATGCTACTATGAACATTGGTGTGCAGGTTTTTATGTGGATGTAAGCTTTCAACTCCTTTGGGTAAAAGGAGTGCAATCCAGTTGGTGGATTTTATGGTAAGAGGGTGTTTAATTTTATAAGAAAGTACAAAACTGTCTTTCAAAGTGGCTGTACCATCTTGCATTCCAACCAGCAATGAATGAGAGTTTCTGTTGCTCCTCATCCTCACCAGCATTTGTTGTTGTGAATGTTCAGGATTTTGGCCATTCTAATACGTGTGTAGGGGTGCCTTGTTTTAATTTGCATTTCCCTGATGACTTGTGATATTGAGCATCTTTTCATATGCTTATTTGCCATCTGTATATGTTCTTTGGTGAGGTATCAGGTATCTGTAAAGGTCTTTGGCTCATTTTTTGTCCTTTTTTTTTTAAACACTGTTGAATTTTAAGAGTTCTTTGAATATTTTTTTTCTGTATGATATCTGCTACAGTCTTTGTATATTTTTGATAACAGTTCCTTCTCAGATATATATTTTGCAAATATTTTCTCCCAGGCTGTGGCTTATATTTCCATTCTCTTGACATTGTCTTTCACAGGGGAGATATTTTTTTTTTTTTTGAGATGGAGTTTTGCTCTTGTTGCCGAGGCTGGAGTGCAATGGGCATGATCTCAGCTTACTGCAACCTCCACCTCCCAGGTTCAAGAGAGTCTTCTCCTGCCTCAGCCTCCCTAGTAGCTGGGATTATAGGCATGTGCCACAATGCCCAGCTAATTTTCTATTTTTAGTAGAGAGGGGGTTTCTCCTGGTTGGTCAGTCTGGTCTTGAACTCCTGACCGCAGGTGATCCACCTGCCTTGACTTCCCAAAGTGCTGGGATTACAGGCATGAGCCATCACACCTGGCCCAGAAATTTTAAATGTTAATTAAGTTCAGCTTATTCTTTGTTTTATGGATCATGCTTATAGCATTATATCTAAAATATCAGTGCCAGGATGTGGTGGAACTGGTAGTTCCAGTTACTTGGGAGGCGGAGGCTGGAGGATCACTTGACTCCAAGAGTTTGAGGCTGCAGTGAGCTATGATCACACCACTACTACAGCCTGGGTGATAAAGTGAGACCATGGCTCTTAAAAAAATTTTAAAATAAATTTAAAAAAAATAAATTAAAAATTAAAAATGTCATTGCCAAACAGAAGGTCATCTAGATTTTTCTCCTGTTATCTTTTAGGAGTTTTCTAGCTTTGCTTTTTACAGTAAGGTCTGTGACCCATTTTGAGTTGATTTTTGTGAAGGGTCTAAGGTCTGTGTCTAGATTTATATTTTGCACGTGGATGTTCAGTTGTTCCAGTACCATTTGTGGGAAAGACTATCTTTTCTCCATTGTATTGCCTTTGCTACTTTGTCAAGGTCAGTTGACTATATTGGTGTGGCTTTGTTTCTGAGCCCTCTGTGCTTTTCCATTGATCCATTTGATCATGAATTTTGAGGGGACATTGTTCAGCGTAGTGACACAGGCAGTCACTTTAGATTGGTTGCTGACAGAAAGTGGATAGTATTGCTGGTTGCTGATAGTATTATTCAGTCATGCTGTATTACTGAGTATATGTGGGTGGCATAAAGTCTTCAGAAAAAATTAAAGGTAACTTTGTTTTGTTTCATTTTATCATAATTTCATAGTAACTTTATCCAAGATTAGTATTCTACAAGATTATTTATATTCAGTAGGAGAACAAAATGTCCTGGTTGTGACTGTCTGACCAGCTTGTAATGATATTGAGATCTAGGTGTGAACATTAGATCAGTTCTGTATGTCAGAGGCTACTTCCTCCTGCCACCTCTCCTTTAAAAAAAAAATAATAAATTTGACATTTTGTTGCAGTTAAACTCACAGTTATCCACTTTTGGAATATCAGAAGACTGAAGGTTTGTTTCTGTCTTATGAAAATGTTTGTGATTCTTCATCATTTTCCCTCATGATATGGCTTTCTGCTTGTGCAGGGTATCTGCTACACACACCCCATCTGATCTCCCAGTGGGAACAAGAGGAAGACCTGCAGACAGTGAAGAGAGAACTTATCCAGGGCATCTGTGTGAGAGAGCACCAGGAAGGCAAGAACCCTTGAGAGAAACTGTTTTGGTTGGGGGAGGAAAATCAACTTAAAAGAAAATCAAAAACAAAAATAAACTTTGTTTTATGTGAGGAAGCTCATCTTCCACAGATATCTCAGATGACTATTTTGACTTTTTGTCATTCTCTCACATTTTCCTTGTTCTTGGCAAAGACCTTCCATATTTCCTCTTTGTAAGTTAGTATTTGGTCATATGCCTTTTTTTTTTTTTTTTTGAGATGGAATCTCGCTCTGTCGCCAGGCTAGAGTGCAGTGGCGCAATCTTGACTCACTGAAATCTCTGCCTCTGGACTTCAAGTGATTTCCCTGCCTCAGCCTCCTGAGTAGCTGGGACTACAGGTGTGCCCCACCATGCCCAGCTAATTTTTTATATTTTAGTAGAGACAGGGTCTCATCATGTTGGCCAGGATGGCCTTGATCTCCTTTTCTCATGATCCGCCTGCCTTGGCCTCCCAAAGTGCTGGGATTACAGGCGTGACCCATTGCGCCCAGCCTGGTCATGTGCATTTTGTCCAATTTTTGTTTTGTTCTCCTAATACTATTCTAGTTATGTTAGTCTGAATCTTCATGTAATTATTTCTTAGTTAATTGCTTACCATTTTGACCCTTGTGTCTATCAATACCAAAGTCCTGAAATAGCCACTCTGCTAAAAGTCCTTTGTTCACAGAAGCTTTCACTTTTTTTGTTACAGGTTTTGAGACTCAACTTAAAGCTAATGAATCGGTTGCCCCACCAGATATTTGTGGAGAGAAAATATCCAATGAACAGAAAATAGTAAGATTCAAAAGGAATGATTCCTGGTTCTCCAGTTTACATGAAAACCAAGAATCCTGTGGTACCGATTATCAGAACAAAAGCCATGAGAGGCAGTTGAGGTGAGTGCCATGCATGAGAAAGTAGTGCCTCCGGAGAGAATCTTAAAATATTATGAAATTTAAGAAATATATATGTATAAATAAGCCTGGATCAAAGATTGTGATTTGAGAATTTTTTTTTTCTTTTTTTTGAGATGGAGTCTTGCTCTGTTACCAAGGCTAGAGTGCAGTGGCATGATCTCAGCTCGCTGCAACCTCTGCTGCCCGGGTTCAAGCAATTCTCCTGCCTCAGCCTCCTGAGTAGCTGGGAGTACAGGCGCACACCACCACGCCCAGCTAATTTTTGTATTCTTAGTAGAGGTGGGGTTTCATCATCTTGGCCAGGCTGATCTTGAACTGCTAACCTTGTGATCCAGCCATCTCTGCCTCCAAAAGTGCTGGGATTACAGGTGTGAGCCACTGCACCCGGCTGAGAATTTTCATGAGTTAATTTTTTCCACAAATGAGACTGAGATTTTGAATGTTTGACACATACTTCACTTGTAAACGATTATAAGAAAAATCTGTGAGTCAAAAACGTGGCGACAGTATTGGCTGTGGTAGAGCGCTTTGTGAGAACTTTCAATTTATAACTTGACAGAAGGCCAGAAAACATACACATTCACTGAAATTGGTAAAAATTTATTACTAATAATGTGTCTTTTATTTTTAAAAGAAATCCTATGGTAGAAAACATCTATGAATGTAGTGAAGAAAATCAACATGGACAGACCTTCAGCCAAGTTCCAAATCTTAATTCAGTCAAGAGAACAACTGAAGTAAAATCCTGTGAATGCCACGCGTGTGGAAAGGTCTTTGTGGATCATTCGTCCCTTAAGAATCACATCAGGTCTCATACTGGAAGCAAACCCTATGAGTGCAAGGAATGTGGGAAGGCCTTCCATTTTCTTGCTTGTTTTAAGAAGCATATGAAAACCCCCACTGAAGAGAAGCCCTATGAATGTAAGGAATGTACCAAAGCCTTCAGTTGTTCCTCATTCTTTAGGGCACATATGAAGCTTCACGTTGGAAAGACGAACTATGAATGTAAGGAATGTGGAAAAGCTTTCAGTTGTTCCTCATCGCTTACAGAACACAAAAGGATTCATAGTGGAGATAAGCCTTATGAATGTAAGGAATGTGGGAAGGCCTTCAGTTGTTCCTCCTCACTCTCCAAACACAAAAGGATTCATAGCGGAGATAAGCCATATGAATGTAAGGAATGTGGGAAGGCCTTCAGTTCTTCCTCTCACCTTATAATACATATAAGAATTCACACTGGAGAGAAGCCGTATGAATGTAAAGAGTGTGGGAAGGCCTTCAGCGAGTCCTCAAAACTCACTGTACACGTGAGAACACATACCGGAGAGAAACCCTACAAATGTAAGGAATGTGGGAAAGCCTACAATTGTCCCTCCTCCTTGAGTATCCATATGAGAAAACACACTGGAGAAAAACCCTATGAATGTCTGGAATGTGGAAAGGCCTTCTATCTTCCCACTTCCCTTAATACACATGTGAAAAATCAAAGTCGAGAGAAGCCCTACGAATGTAAGGAATGTGGGAAGGCCTTTAGTTGTCCCTCATCCTTTAGGGCACATGTGAGAGATCACACTGGAAAGATACAGTATGAATGTAAGGAGTGTGGGAAGACCTTTAGTCGTTCCTCGTCCCTCACCGAACACTTAAGAACTCACAGTGGAGAGAAGCCGTATGAATGTAAGGAATGTGGGAAAGCCTTCATTAGTTCCTCCCACCTTACAGTACATATCAGAACTCACACTGGAGAGAAACCTTATGAATGTAAGAAATGTGGGAAAGCATTTATTTATCCCTCAGCCCTTAGGATCCACATGAGAACACACACTGGGGAAAAGCCCTATGAATGTAAGGAATGTGGGAAAGCATTTCGTCATTCTTCATACCTTACTGTACATGCAAGAATGCACACTGGAGAGAAACCCTTTGAATGTCTGGAATGTGGGAAAGCCTTCAGTTGTCCCTCATCCTTTCGAAGACACGTGAGAAGCCACACTGGAGAGAAACCTTATGAATGTAAGGAATGTGGGAAAGCCTTTGTTTGTCCTGCCTACTTTCGAAGACATGTGAAAACTCACACTAGAGAAAACATACAAATGTAAGGAATATGGGAATGTCTGCAGAGCTTCAGATCCTAGGCAACTTGTGAGGTCTCATACTGTGGAGACACCCTATGAATGTTAGAAAGTAGGAAATTGTTGCTTATCATTTTGAAGATTTGAGGACACGTTAGAGAAACCCTGTGTATGTAAATCATGTGCTAAAGCCTTTATGAACATTACTTATTATGTATAAGAAAATTCATACTAGAAATGAAGATCAGTGCCTCATCCTTTAAGTGAACAACTGGCTTGCTGATTACCAGTGTTTTCTGATGGGAACATTTAAGGTGATAAATTTACCTTTTCAGCTCTAGCCACATACTTTTTATTATGAGGTGCTTTCATTTTGGTTCTGATATAAATATAAGTTCCGTTATAAAGTCTTTTGGATCCATGGAGGATATGAAATATTTTTTTCTGTATAGGCACCAGTGGTCTTTTTAAAAAAAGTGGTTTCTAATTAATGTTCATTGTTCTTTAAGTGGGTAGTCATTATAATATTGACACTTTGGTTTTGTTGGTATTTTGCTTTTAGTGTACATGGCAGACAATGGAAATTGCCCACTCAGTATTTTTCTTGTTCTTTTTTGCTAAAAGCCTTAAGGTTTTGAGATGATCAGTTTTTACTGTTAAATGCCTTTCCTGTCTAGTGAGTAACTCAGCAGAAATTTGTTTAATATACTATTTTTATATTTTGTTCTTTGTCCTTGCTCGTGGCTGGGAATTGGATCCAGTGTTTTGAGTATAAAAATTGTGTTACATTAACTACATTTCCCAGAATCACTTTTTTCTCCAGTTGTGTTAGACTTGTCTAAAGAGTTTATATGAGATGTGAAAGGCATAAGGGAAGAAAAAGCCATTATGCTATGTTTAGTGGGGCCATCAGACAGGGAGACAGATGTATAAAGGCCTGGTCACCTAGTTTTCAGCTCATTTTTCTGATTGTTGGACTCATTGATCAATATTTGCCCAAAACTGAATTTTATAGCTGGGTGTGATGGTGTATACCTGTAGTCCCAGCTACTCAGGAGGCTGAGGCAGGAGGATCACTTGAGCCCAGGAGTTTGAAGCAGCAGTAAACTATGATCATGCCACTGCACTCCAGCCTGAGGGGCAGAGTGAGACCCTTTCTCAAAAACAAAATAAAACACTGAACATTAAATGCTTGCTTGACTTCAGTGTCCTCTGAGGCAGCAGCTCTACAGCTATCACCACATACAGCTTCTTGGATTTTCTGGCAAGCTCTGGGATTGCCATTTTTCTTATGTTGCAGTCTGTCTTACAGAGTCCAACCGCATCATGTCACTCTATTCATGGGGAAAGATATTTTTGCAAGTCTCAAAAGTAAGAGCTGTGGAGAGTGAGAGGGGTTACCCTTAGTAATTGAGGTAAGCATCCACAGGGTGTCATCCCATTTTAATGGAGGAAGATTTATACTTGACACCTTCAAACAGAAAAGATTTTACTGCTTTTTTTCCTTAATGTAAGAACATGAATTGCTTCAGGCACTTTTAGCTGTAGTATTATATTTTCCCTTTAAAAGTATAACTCTACTACGACTATAGTTTCCCTTTAACAGTATTATTCTACTACTTGCCCTTAATCACTTTTTATTTTATTATGTTATACATACGCTAACATGCATGAAGTATGCTAATCTTCAATGTACAGCTTGATGAAATTTCACGTATGTATACGTCCTAGTAAACAGAGAACATTTCCAGGACATTAGGAAATTCCTTCATCCTCTTTCTCAGTGATTAATTACTCCACAGGGCAACCACAATTTTGACTCTTACTATAATTGACTTGGTGTGTTTGTTCTTGATTTTCATCTAAATGTGAAAATATAATATGTACAGTTAATGTGTTTTGGCTTCTTTTGCTCAAGAAAATGTGTAGTTGACTTTTAATTGCTCTTTTGATAGATGTATGGGCTTCTTTATCTTGGTATGTGCTATATGTGCAGGAATGAATTTACTGATCATAGGGTAGACTTTCAGTTTGGTTTTGGTAGGTATTCCAGTTTTCAAAAAAATACTGGTTCCACCAAGAATCCCCAGAACAATGTATGACAGTTGTAGTTGTTTCACACACCTGGCCAGCACTTTCTGATTTTAATCATTCAGCAGAGCATGCATTTACCTGATGTGTAATGATTTTGAGTACTTTTCAGTGTGCTTATTGGCTATTTGGATTTTTTTTGTGAGGGCACCTGTTGAAACATTTCACTGATTTATGGTTCCTTTTTTAAAAGAAAAGTTGAAGGGTTTTCTTCTGGTTATGTGCCCTTTATTGCATATATGTGTATCTATATCTAGGTACACATGCATACATGTGTATAAACCATGTATTATATATTACATATATACATAAAATATGTATATTATATATACATATATTACAGATAACATTTCCCAATCTCCATCTTGTCTTTTCACTCTTTAAAGGGAATTCATTGGCTTAAATAATTTATTACTAAAAAGTCCTTGGGTATAACAAGCTTCAGGCATGGCTGAATCCTGGGACTAAAAAAAACGTTATCTAGTTGAATTCTGTCTCCCTGTCTTGGCTGTGTATCCTCTCGCATTAGCTTTTGTTCCAAGCAGGTTGTCTCTTCATAGCAGGCCCTAGAAACTCTGGCTGCTATTTTCCCAGCTTAAAGTCTCAGGGAGAAAAGAGTGATTGTTTTTTTTGAACAGTTCCAATATGATTATCAGAATTGAATCTGGTTGGCTGTGACTGGCTCACTTGCCTGCTGTACTCTAGTCACTGGCCTGGGGAATGTAATACTCTCATTTGTTTAGGGTTAGCGCCCGTGCTTATCCAGATACTGGGTTAGAGTCTACACTGACTGTATCAGAGTTCTGGCAGTTCTGACACATATGGAGAGGGGAGAAGGCAGCAGTGGACAGGTAGGATCTAAAAATAGTGGTAATATTGTTAGCTATCATGCTGGTCTTAGCAGCAAGTGGGATCTGTGAAGTCTGGGAACTCTGCTAGGGGTTCCTAGATAGCATTTTAGAAAAGTCAAATGTGATCTGTTAACATGTCTTTAGATCACTAAAGATTTCTGCTCAGTCTTTAATGAGCGTAAAGATCAACTTGAGATCTGACACTTGTTTAAGAATTATTTGCCTGGACCAAGATAATGAATCTATTCTCCTATGTTTTCTTCTATATTCTTTATTGTTTTTATTTAGATCTGTGATCTATTTTGAATAATTTTTTTGTAGTACGTGAGGTAGGATCAAGGTGTGTATATATAGATTTATCAAAGAGACCATACTTTTCCCCTCTGCTTAGGCAATCTCTGCCCCTTGGTTCATTTGTCTTTCCTTGCACCATTACTGTACTATCTTAATTTATGTTGCTTTGTAATATTTTTGGAAATCTGGTAGTGAGAGCCTTCCAGCTTTTTATTCTTTAAGATTGTCTTGCCTTCTGTGTTCCCATGTTTTGTAAATTAATTTTGCAATCTCAGGATTAATTTTCACAAATAAATTTTTTGGTACTGTGCTTGTGATTGCATTGACTTTATAAAACAACCTAAGGATAATTGACATCTTTACAATGTTGAATTTTCCAATTAATGAATGTGGTATAATTGTCCATTTACCTAGGTTGTCTTTAACTTTTCTCAATTTAAAGTTTTAATTGTAGAAGTCTTGATTTGTTTAATTTATTTCTAAGTATGTGGAATATTTTACTTTGTAAATATTTTAAATTTGTTTTTCAATATTTTTGGCTAGTACATAGAATTGCAGTATCTTTTTGTATATTGACTTTATAGCTGGGACATTTATAAATCCAATTATTTATTCAAATGCTTTGTGGATTATTTTGGATTTTTTATATATATATAATCCTGTTAATACCAATAAAAGAAAGTCTTACCTAATTTCTAAACTTTATTTTTTGTTTATTTTTCTTGCTTTATTTCTTTAGAGTAATGAATAGAAATGATGAAAATGAATATCTTTGCCTTGTTTCTGAATTTAGGGAAACATGTTTAATATTTCACCATTAACTATGATACTACCTAGAAGTTTTTTTTATAAATAACCTTTATCAAATTAAGAGAATTCTGTTTTATTCTTGGATTGTCAAGATTGTTTTGTAAAAATCATGAGTGGACATTAGATTTTATCTAGTGCCTTCTCTGCATGTGTCAGGGTCTTTGAGAAATCCTTATCATCCCTGAGAGGTCTGGAAAAAAAAAATCCTTAAATCTCTTAATAAGGTGAATTATATATTATTTGATTTTCATATGGTAAAATAACATCTATTACTGAAATAAACCACACTTGGATATGGTTTATTCGCCTTCTCATTTTTGCTAGATTCAGTTTGTTACTTTAAAAAAAGTATTTCTGTGTCTATGTTGATGACTGGTTTGTCCTTTGATTTCTTTCTTTTTTTTTTTTTTTTTTTTTNTTGTTTTTGTTTTTAAGACGGAGTCTCGCTCTGTCGCCCAGGCTGGAGTACAGTGGCACGATTGTGGCTTACTGCAACTTCCACCTCGGGTTCAAATAATTCTTCTGCCTCAGCCTCCTAAGTAGCTGGGATTGCAGATGTGCACCACCATGCCCAGCTACTTTTTGTGTTTTTAGTAAAGACAGCGTTTCACCATGTTGGTCAGGCTGGTCTGGAACTCCTGACCTCATAATCTGCCTGTCTCGGCCTCCCAAAGTGTTGGGATTACAGGCATGAGTCACCGTGCCCGGCCAATTTCTTTTATTATGCTTGTCTGTTTTGTATCAGGTTTCTACTGTTTCATAAAAGTTGGAAATTATCCTGAAAGCCTGTATTAAATCACAGCTCACTGCAGCCTCGACCTCTTGGGCTCAAGTGACCCTCACCTCAGCCTCTTGAATAGTTGTGACTACAAGCATGCGCCACCATACCCAGCTTTTTTTTTTTTTTTTTTTTTTTTTGGTATTTTTTGTAGAAACAGGTTTTGCTATGTTGCCCAGGCTGGTCTCGAACTTCTAGGCTCAAGTGATCTGCCCACCTTGGCCTCCCAAAATGCTAGGATTACAGGTGTAAGCCACCATGCCTGGCTGTAACCTTTCTTTCAATAGGTCTTTTTTTTCTTTCTCCTTCAGAAGGTGGTTTCATCTCATGGTCCAGGTACCTTGACTTTCACTACCAGATTCTAGAAAACTAATGGCCCCATTTCCTTGTTCCTTTTCATGCCCTTTGCTATGTGACTTGTTTTGGGCAATGGAATGTTAACCAGTAAAATATGAACAGAGGCTTTAAACATGCTTGTGTAGTTGGGCTTGCTCACTTTAGCACTTCTGGCACAACTACAGACACAAGAGTAGCTAAATGGCTCAGTGAAGCCCAATGCAGATCAACTTCCAGATCTGTGAGCTAAATAAATACTTGATGTTTTGCCTCTGGGATTTTTGTGATCATTTGTTATGCAGCACTTTGGAGCAATAGCTGACTGGTACACAGATGGGCCAACAACTCCCAAATTCAAATCCCTGGCTCAGACTCCTCCTCTGAGCTCCAAACATCTATTTGCATAGCTAGTAATCATCTTAAAAATAACATTGCTGCAAATAGAACTTTGCTTTAGCAAGCCATCCTTATCATACCTGTTCCACCCTTATAAATGACACGCTTATCTTCTCTGTACTTC